GTTTTACAAGCAGAGGTTATCCTGATGCTTTGATGTCCTACCCTATCACTTACCTTCAGAACAAGGATGCTGGCTTTAATCATAGATTTAATTAAAATGATGATGGATTGTTTTAAATCAAACATCTGTTGTAGAAGTCACAAACGCCATAAAGCCAACCCAAAATGTGAACAATGTTAATCCCTGTGTGTTCAAGCTCAATGACACAGCATTTTCCTGCCTGCCCAATTGCAGGAAGCTGCTCGGGTCTTCTAGGTGTCCCCCTAAGTCAAGTATCTACCTCTATGCAGATAATGTTGTGATCCAGCTTACCACCGTGCTCTTCCGGTGGCTCTGCACTGTGAAATCAGGACAGAAGAGCAGATCTGCCACTGCAAGGAGCAAGGATTCAGCCAGCGGACGGGCATTTTCGTCATCTTCATCCCCCTAAAAGTGAGAAACGTAGACCAATATTGTGAATCCAGGGTGAGAGAAGACCACACTAACAGTGGCATAACATACTGAGAGCGTGAGCACACAGGAAGGCAAGAAGTCCAAAGGGATAGGCAGAAAAAACACAAAACCCTCCCAGCAGAGGCAAGGAATCCCCCTGGGAGCTGAGATGACTAAGTGGGGAACATGCTCTCTAATGAGAGCAACCAAAGGGAGCAGGTGAAGAATCCCAGGCCTAGAGATGCTGGGAAGAGGAGTTGCACCAGATCTTGCTGCATGGAGCTGCTTGGCTTATTGATGCCAAAAGCAACAGAATCCATTTACAGAGAAGAGGGTGTTACAGACACCAAGGAAATATGGGAGGTGATTCGGGTGGGGCACAGGAGCTGGGGACAGCAAGAAGCCAGTCAGCAGCAGGGAAAAAGTGGAAAACCTCCCAAAGGCCGGAGCAGGAGGGGGCAGGTGCCGCGCTAGCAAGGGCCACCTCAGTCACAGAGGGGCCTTGGCCAGTCCCAGCACTCAGGGCTCACATACGGCTCCTCCTCCATGGCCGTTGCCACGGGAAACCTCTCCTGGCCCTGCTGCCAAAGAGCAGCCGGGATGCGCGGCCGGCCCCGGCGCACGCGGCCGCGGGAGGGACGGGAGGCACCGGCAGTGGCAGGGGCTTATCTATCCCGGCCAGCCTGCGCGTGACACGCGGCTCTTAAATCACAGCAGGCAGCTAAGGAGATAATAGCCTGGGTGGCTCTGACATCTGTCGGGAAAAAACAGTCAGACAGATCCTGTATGCAAGGGGAGGCCGGAGAGGATGCACGGAGCTTGCCGGCAGCAAGGATGCTTTTGCTGGGGTGGGCAACGGGAGATGAAAGGAGAGGCATTAGGGTCCAGAGGGATTTCGTTTTACAGAATGGTCCATGCCATCATAGGCTCAGCTTCCAGGAAAAGCCCCTGCAGGCTCGGGATACCAAGACATCCAAAGCAGGTGGCACAAAAGAAGACAGAAGATCCCAATCGGGAGGGCACCCCATTTGCAGAGCGCTCTTGAAGGGTTTTGCTGTCTTCCAAGAACTGCCACCCTTTCTCTTCCTGAACACAGCAACAAGCTCACAGATACAGCCCCTCTCTAAGCCCTGCATTCCAAAAAATTCAGGCCCAGCACCCCCTCATACTCAGGAGGGAACAACCAGCCTAACAGCCACTTCTGCACCTGGAACCCCAGCACCCTGCTAACATCCTGGGGGCACAACACGGGCTGGACACCCCAGGGCCACCCCACCACCCTAGGGCTAAAAACTCCCTCCTCCAGCTGCGGGACACAGCGCAAACAGCAGTGGCAGCAGCCTGGCTCAGGGCACCAAGCACCCCACTGTCATGCTCCCCAGAGCAGCTCAGCTCTGTGCTGTGCACCTGGAACCCCAGCACCCTGCTAACATCCTGGGGGCACAACACGGGCTGGACACCCCAGGGCCACCCCACCACCCTAGGGCTAAAAACTCCCTCCTCCAGCTGCGGGACACAGCGCAAACAGCAGTGGCAGCAGCCTGGCTCAGGGCACCAAGCACCCCACTGTCATGCTCCCCAGAGCAGCTCAGCTCTGTGCTGTTCAGCCTCTGCGGATGGAAGGGTGCCCGAGCACCCTCCCCAGCACACAGGTTGTGTAACAGAGCAGCTCGCACGGGCTTCCCTGCCACCAGCCACAAGCTCCCCTTGAAGTGGCCTCAGGTGAAAGAGATTAGAGGAGAAAGGCAGGGACAGCGCAAGGTCCAAGCTGTACCTGCCACTGTCAACCCCTGTTAGCCCTGCTCCAAAACAGCGCAAAAAACCACGCAGGTGAAAGCACCCTCCTCAGCGCAGAGCTCAGCCACGCTGGCCTGCACGCTCAGCAACCCCAGCATCGTGTTCTCCGTGCAGGACGAGCCAGCTGCTGGGGCAAATACGTATTTCTGGGCTAGCAGCTGCCTTTACAACACCATTTCTCCCACCTGCAGAAGCAACCAAAGCGCTTTCCCTGTGACACACTGCAGCTGGGCAAGGTGCTCTTGTGCCCACTCTCCAGACAGGAAAAAAAAACCCGGAAGGTTTAGATTCCCCTGAGGTTACACACATCAGGAACAGGCCCAGAAACAGTCCCTAGTTCTTCAATTCTTTAATCACTGTCGGTCAACTGGGGGCTTCACCTACCAGGTGATGTCCCAGTTAAACTCTCACTCTTCTAAACAGGCTATTGAGTCACCATGTGCTGCCAGGAGCCTCTCCACACAGTAGCTCTCTCTTACAACTGTACCCAAGGAAAAGCTTCAGGAGATGCAGCAGCTCATGCTAAACACAGTAGCTGAGGGCAACAGGAAAAGCAGCAAGAATCAAGGAGAGGAAACCAGTTCAGAAGGTGTCATTTAGTGTGAGGCCAAATACTACCAGAATAAGGTGCCCCCAGAAGCATTTGGGTCTCTCCTTACAACCTCCCCCTCACTCTCCAAAGGAAGAATAAGTGCCAAGACACAGACCCCTCCTCGGCCAGCGCCAGGGACAGTTGACCAGAAGAAACCTCTCCAGTCTGGGTCCTCGAAGATGTAGGGCAGGATGCGCGTGAGCAGCCGGCAGCAGTTCAGGACAATCTGCCTCTCCTTCTCCGTGTGGCAGCCGCTCTCTGCTCCCTGCACCAGCTTCTCCACAGCCTGGGGGGAACAAAAACAAGGCAGGACACGTCAGCCTGGAGACACACGAGCAAGAGCTGGGCAGGCCTGCAGTGCTGGTGACATCCTGACGTAGAATTTTAAGCGCTTTTCCCTGAGTTCAGTAGTAAAGTCTCTGTGCTGCTGTTTGGAAAACTGCAGAAATAGGGTTAATAATCTTAAATGGACCCTCTGGAATTTCTACTGCACAGGATACTACACGGAAACAGGAGGCAGAGGTTTATAACCACACAGGAAAAGGAGGCCCCCTCTCTCCCCCTGCACCTGCACTCCCTTCCTCTGATCCCTGATCCCGAAGCAGGGATGAAAGCAGAAATATTTACCAAGGATTTACCTTGCAGCTTTTTAATTCACGGGGCCACGCGTGCCTGCTTACTTTCATAGCAGACTGTCTGGGTCACTGACTCTGCTAGTTGACGTCACTGCCTTAATGGGTGTTTAAGTGCTGTTTGTCTCCTCTCGGCCTGGCCATGCACTGCTCCGTGGCTGCGCCTGGGTATTTTGGGGGGCATTCTCACAGTGAAAGTACAGACTGAGTCCCCAGAGTGATTGCACATGACATTTTAACCATGTTGCTGTGCTTTCTACAAACACGCAGCGCTGCTAAGCCCAGCACCGGGCGCACGTCAGCACCCTCGGCCTGGCAACAGCACTGTAGGAATCTGCAGGCTTTTCTGCCTGTCACACCACGATCTAGAGCTCCTGGATGACCACCTTGCCATGACCAGGGTTTCCAACTTATATGTTTTCAAGAGGGAGAACAGCCTATATATTAGTCTTATTCTGGGGGGAAAGAGGACACAGGTCCCTAAGCCCCTCTCAGTTCCCAAGCTGCTGTTTGCCAGAATGTATGACTCAAATCAAGAGTATTATGAACACCCGCACTTTCCCAGGCCACACAAGTCTCACCAGACTGTTCCCTCTGCTGCCTAAGCCACTGCAAACCAGCTTGGCAATTTTCCTGGTTCTAGTAGAGTAGGAAACACGAGTCAATGTCCCTGCGCTCCACGAGGACGGGGCAACACCAGAAGCAGCACCAGGGACATGCTGACATAGCAGGAGGAGGAGGACGAGGCTTTAGACTTCCCCAATTTCATCCAGGGACTTTTACAATGACAAACTCCACATCCCTCTGGGGTTTACGAGTTTGGAGGAGAAGTAATACACAACGAGAAGCACTTAGATGCAGACAGGGAAACAGATGCTCCAGCCACACCACATACATACAATGCTGGTACCAAACTCGCTAAGCTTGAAGCAGTTACCATTTCAGGCAAGGCTCAAGGCTGCAGGACGAGCTGCAGTGCAGGAAGAGGAAAAAAGAAGCTCTGAATTGAGCGAACGCAGCTGTGGGCTGTGGTAAACCACGAGAGGAAGGGCTGAGAGTTATCATGAGCAGAGGGACAAGCCAGCACAGCGTGTGGTGGAAGGAAATAACCTGGTACCTGCCACCACACTCAGCACCGATATGTCGCTATCACCCGGTGGGCAGGACTGCAAGCCAAGCAAGAAGCAGGGCTTGGCAATCACGCCTGGAGCACCAGTAGCCACCATGGTCACCCTAGCCTAGCTCTACTTAGCCGAATATGTTAAAATTTCCAGTCCTTACACAAAATGGCCTGGGAAGCTACAGACTCTGGTCGAGGAATGATCCCCCTTCGTAAGTACCGCACTAGGGAAGAGGAGGGTGCCCTCCTTACCTTGTAACACAAAGTAGCCAAGTTTGAAGGTGATTCTTCTCTCACCGCTCGGATCTCTGCAGCTGGTACAAGGGCAAATACATCCTGCACTGATGTGGCTGTGTCTGCCCAGAACTGGTCCCAAAAGGCATCATCCGTTGCCTCCACGGGCTACAGAAAGACAAACAGCTGTTAGGAACACAAAGCTGCTGTTCTGTGAGGGCCAAACATCGGTGATTATGACTGGATCAGGCCTAGGCCACCAAAACATCACCAGGACCTATATGGAGCAAGTGAAAATCATATTAGCACTGGTTTTACAGCTCGACCTCTCTGCTACCAGAGCCTGGACTGATCTGACCGCTCCCTCTGCGATGAGGGTGACCAGCAAGACATTTACGTGACCAGCTGCATCGGGCTGGAACTCCCCAAATACACATGCTCACCTGCTTGTCTGCAACCCAGGACACGTGCGACAAGATCTTTTTCAGTGCCCAGGGGCCAGGCTACTGTCACGCATCCCGTCTCCTCCCGAGCATGCCAAGGATGCCTGGAGCTGCATCCGCCGTAACCAGAGCCTCAGGGGGGCAGGCAAGGACACGTCACATTCGGGCATGAACAGACACGCGGAACTGGCAGACCCACCCCAGAGCACTTACGACTGCAACAGAATTGATCTTCCGGAATCAAATATTCATGGAGAACTGGATTCGGTGCAGCTGGTCCCTGCCAAGGCTTTGCTGTTAAAAAAAGCACTAAGTGTGCGAGTCAAAGGAAGAGATGGAAAGAGAAGGCTGAGATACTAAAAAAGCAGCCTGATTCCTTCCAGGCGCGCAGCCCGAGAAGCCCGTGCCACTGTGCCCGGGTGCAGATCTCCCTCCCTCTTCCCTGCACTACTGTCTCCTTCCCATGGTGTGAGAATAACTATTTTGTCACTCCTCCTAAGGTAAATAAGCCTAAAGTGTTTCTTTCAGCAGAAAGGCCTCTGTATCACTCAGCAGCTGAGGCATCCTAAGCCAGGGAGCTCTGAACTGTCACGACAGACTTTTCAGCCAGTCTAAAGCTGAGCATGGTTCTTCCCATCTAAATGCTCGTAGGTGCCAAATACACAGAGGGAGCGTTCAGCCAGCCCAAGGCTCCTCTAGAAGAGTGTCAGGAGCCTTCCTGTGTATTCATGCCGTGAGAAAGGAGGGTCCATAAGTTCGCTCAGAAGAGGAAAACAGAAGCGTCTCCAGATGGATTTCCCTGGCCCTGCAGCAGCACATCCAGCGTGTCCAAACAGGAGCCCGGCTGGACACCCCCGGCTCGCGGGTCGAGGCGAGCGGGAACCTCCTGGCGCTGACGTGCGGCGGCTCCAAAGCAAACAGGGGCTCTTGCTAACCGCGATAACCAGCGCTGCGGGCACGGCCATCGCGTCAGATGGGAAAGGGGCAAAAACGGGAGCGCGTGCTTTGTTTAAACTGTCCCTGCCAACTCCCTGCTCTGCTGTAGCAGGCAAAAAGCTCCTCTCGCGGTGCAAGGTGCAGCCAAGAGCTGACTCCAGGGAGAGGAGCTTGCTCACAGCCCTGGCACCAAGAGAACCGCATTACCCCCCAGGGAGAGGAAACACCTGCTGAATTAACAGCCACAAGCTGCAGGCAGGGGATGTGTCACTGTCACCCCGAGGCCAGAAAGTGAGGAGCAGGCAGGCTGCCCCCAAACTGGAAGAGCTGGTTATTCCCTACAGCTCCATTCCTTAACGGATCCTATCACTCGGATCCTATCACTCGTCCCCTCCTTCCTGCCTTGCAATGAAGCAGCCCAAGCTGCTCCCTAGAAAAACGCAGTGCTGAAGCAGCTTCCCAAATACTGCTGTAGTGCTGAAATCTGCTTCATTTTATCCCCTAACTTTTGAAGCAAGTTCCCACCAGATGCCTTTTCAAGGGAAAAGGGACTTTTCCAAAGGACACACTTTGCACAGCTCCACAGAGGGGATCTGCAGGAAGAACCAGGCACTTTGGAGCCTGATTTTGAGGGGAATTCAGCTCCTAGCACACAAGGGAGCCATGTTTTTCCATAACCTGATTTGCAAACCTCCTTGCAAACTCAATCTTTAATGACACTCCTCCAAAAGAGCCAAACATTTGGGAATCCAATCTATGCACAAAATATCCTACACTTCCTACACCACCTCTCACAGCGTATAGCACAACCGCATGGATAACTGCCACATGTACCTCCTGGCTGCCCGCCACAGCCGCTCCCACTGACAACAGCGAGCAGCAATTGCTGCTAATTGGAATCATGCATAAATCATGGATTCACCCTTGTCTGGAAGGGAAGGAAAAAACCATCTTCCCCCCGGCGGACGCAGATCACTTTCCCCAGCATCAACACGCAGCCTCCTCGGAGGGCCATCGCAGCCCCACGTCACACGAGGTGACACAGCCGCTGGCTGCACTGCCATCTTAGCAAGCAGCTTGCACTGAAACACCAGCTCTCCCATTTTCAAGAGCTGCAGCGGGTAGGTTCCTCATCCAACAGATGGTGTAGCCCTTTTGTACAATCCTAGGACGTGGATTCAGTGCGGACTGAGTCACTCGCATCCCTGCAGCCCCTGGATTTTATTTAATAATCTGGCATCATGCAGCTATTTGCTCTTCGTAACACTCATCTCCTTGATAGGACATTACTGGGTTTTTTTATGCTCATTGTACTTCGTAAACCAAGTCCTTGGGGGATCTAAATGTGCACAGTGCTTTAGCAACAAGAGCATCATGAGGGGCTGAATCCTCAACAGCACTCCAGATCCTCTGGGTCACGCAGATGTGTCTCCTCTTGGCAGCAGAGCTGTCACACACCGACAAGAGCAGCCACATGCACCTCCAAAACACTGCACAGGAGCAGCTCTGCACCAGCCATGTGATGAGAGCAGGGACTTCACTGTAGCAAGAAGCGAGGGACCAGCAGCAAAACTCTCCTCTGGAATCACAGCTGGGACACGTGGGGAGCCTCAAGGGAAGTCCTGAGCCCTCATGCACCCAGCTGGGGAAGCTGCTGAAGTTGGACAGCAGCTGCAGACAGGCCCGCGGCTGCCCAGACCAAGTTCTCCATGTAGAAGGGAGGAGACGGCGAGCACAGCGTGGCTGCTGACCCCACACGTGTGCGATGTGACACCTCAAAAGGACAAGGGAGGCCGCTGCTTTTTACCTTCAGTTCACCTCAGCGATGTGTAAAAACCCTCTGATTGCCGGGTGACCGCAGAGGCGGAGCAGGTCCTGCCGAGCACCTCCAGCCACTGTGTCCCCAAGGCTGCAAACTTCAGGTCTGGGCTGCTTTGAAACACACCATAGCCACGGGCACTGCAGGAATCGGAATAGAAAGCTGCCTAGATTTCAAACATCTCATCAGTTACTGGACAGAGGATCACAGTCCTGAACAAGTAATCCCTAGACAGGATATGTCAAAGGAAACGGGAAAAGAGCTGAGCTGACAACATCCCATAAACAGGAAAAGGTCCCAAGGCACAGCCTGCTACCCAAATTTTTACTGTCCTCAACCAAAACCTACTATCACTTGCACTTCTTCCTTCAGACCCAACCCCTCACAAACGCAGGCAGGGTGCATATTTGCACCCTCCTCCCAACCCAGAGCTCTCTGTACTCCCTGGCCACCTATTCCCAGCAATCCCCTCCAACAGCTCCTACCCCAGGGCTGATCCTAAACCACCCCTAAGGGTGTTGCAAGTTGTCAGCAGACAACCAAAGACACAAGCAGACACTCGTCTTTCTCCCCATGTTCACCTGTGGCCTCCAGTCGACTCCCCAGACAAGTATCCTATGGGTCCAGACTGCAAAGCCCTTGGAGCAGGGACTCGCCTTGTCCTGTCACCAGAGAAGGCCCCAGTCAGGGTTCCTAGCCCCACTGCCATGGAAATTGAGGTAATGTGTAACAGCAGTGTGCTCCTTCCTACCCAAATGAGGCAGAACTAGGGGGTGTAATGACCAGCGTCGCTCATGCAGCACTTCACTGAGTTCCTTCAGTTCCAGGAAATCTGGCAGCTCGGTACAGCCAACTGATTAGTTTGAGGCAATTCGTGCAATCCAGCGACCATTTTTGGAGCCAGGGAAAATATGAGGACAGATTTATTTAAAGTGTTAATAAGTAGCAACATTTGAGCCTCACTGCCAAAGCCAGCAGCTCCATACAGTTTTCAGAGTAGAAGTGATCTTCCTTGATCCTTACAGTCAACAAAGGAGAACCAAGGTGAGACTCCGAATGAGTCTTTGTCCATCATTTTCTGCTCCTGCAGCACGGGTAGCATCACATAGAGTTAAAAAAGGGAACTGGAAAATGGGATTTGGTGAAGTCTTGCAAGAAAACTCGAGTCACCATGCTCAAATTAACAATCAGTTGCGATACAGCTGCTGCATATCCGGGAGCACAGGAGTTTCTGCATCCCTGTTACTTGATCCTTCCTGTCTCTTTAAAAGCAGAGGCACAGCCAGTGCTGTAACAGGCTGGTTCACAAGATCAGGTATTTCCTATCTGCCAATCGCTTGTTGCTGAAACGGTTTAATCACCAAGGGACTGAGAAAGAAAGCATATGTTTCCCTAGCAATTAATGGGCTCCCACCTTCAGTTTCCTGCTCTGCCATTAAGTTGGTGCCATACTCACACAGTCTATGTTTCCCTTCACCCGTTGCATACACAGCATTTTCAGGGGTGGTTTGGGTGGGCACATTCATTCACGGTGGTAAAGCTCAAAAGGACTCGTAGGAAAAAAAAAGAGGCTGCTGCTTTATTATTAAAAGGGCTTTATAAATTAATGCGCAATGTAATATGTATAGCATATACCAATCTTCAAGCCCATTTCTCCATGGATGATTATCACTATACATCTGTAACATATGCAAAAACCTTCTGTCAGCTACTACTGCCATCTTCTATCACTGAAGTGATAGAAGTGATTTGAAGTGATATTGAAGTGATAGAAGTGAATCATTTTGAAGTGATTTTCCATTTCTAATACCGTTACAGCTTCAGATTTCTCTCTTGCAACATTCTATCACTGAAGTCATTTTGAAGTGATTTTCCATTTTTAATACCATTACAGCTTCAGATTTCTCTCTTGCAACTAGAAAAATCAGCAAAGCCAATTTCATTCCTGTCCATACTTGGTTTGACTTTCAAGTTCTGGGGTCTGCATTTGCTGCAAGTATTAAAGTGCAATGCAGAAGTCTGGAGATTTAAGAGTTTATTTTTAGGAAAGCCTAACTTCAGTACTAACTCTGGACTGCCATCAATGAGTGAACGTTGCTTTTTGCTATACCATTTCCTTCCATCTGGAAAGGATGGGCACGGAAAACTGCAGCACTTTGCTGGTCTCAGGGTTTCATGTTACCAATGACTTGATGAAAATCCATTTGTCCTGCAACCAGATGTCAGAGCAGAAGGCTGTAAAAGAGGAGAAGCGCTGCTGAGAAAGCAATGAGTATTTTGAGCACATCACTTTGGAGCAGGGACCTGATCCTGCCCGTTATTCCAGCTTGGTGTGAATCCGGGGACCGCGGGATGAGGGTTTACACAGAGGCAGCTGCTGGTAGCAGCTCATGAGGTTTCAGGGGAGCCCAGTCACGCATCCTGCACAAGCAAACACCAGGGCCCTTCTCAGGTATGTAAATATGGGAGCGCCAACACCCCACCCGCTCTCCACGTGGCACCTGCTCTCGCCTGGACAACAAAGACCAGGCAAGAATGAAGCTTTTTCTCCTTCCTTTACGTGGTGCCCCAGCACATCCTTTCACTGCATACATCAATAAACCAGCTGGGAGAGGGAAGGCTCTTTTCCTGCCCGGCAGTATGACAGACTGCCCCATATTCATTTTTCTTTGTGAATGGCAGACTTGGAAGACCTCAGTGTATCTGTTAGTTAAAGGGAAGCAGAGGCTTCAGTCCCTCCTCCCCATCTCATTTTATAAGCCCATTTGCTAGCAAAAGAAGGAGAATCCAAAGCTAAAGTCGTGCTGAACTATTCTGGCATCCAAGACAGACTCTGGAAGAATCCCCACCAACGCTCATTTCTCTGCTTCTCTTCTTGCCTAGGGACACCATGGCACATCCAAAATAGCATATTTTTAAAGAAAAAATT